CGCCAAAACCCCAAAACCCCAAAACCCCTTTATGCATTAATTGAAGAGGAAAACAAGAAATTAATAATATACTCCATTATATCATTAAGAATTTTTATCTACCTCTAAACTGACATTAGAATTTACATTGTTGTTATTAAATGGTTTTACTATTTACGTCTAATTTACGTTCTAGTTGTATTGATTTTTAAGGTTGTTGCTATGAGTATTATGATTGTTTGTATTAGAGTTAGTATTATTGCTGTTCAAATTAGAATTTGCAGCAGCTATATTTCTCGCCATACTATTTTGCTATTCAATGAGACTTAGCATGCTCTTCCTGTTTAAAATGATACTTCTTAATTGTGGATTTGAATTGAGTAAACTGCTCATTTCCCCTTCTTCATTTGAGACTATATAGTCCATTAAATACTCATTGTCAATGCTAGAAGTGTTTCGGCCTCCAAAAAAACTATCTTTTTTAGTCCCTGTTGACTACAAAATCTTTGGAATTGAAGCTAAAAGAGGTGAATTCTCCAGCATTAATCTAGGAGGAGATTTAGGCCTAATCACCTCATAAGTATTATGCATTTTTGAATTTTGAGTATTTTAGTCAAGATCACTTAATGTGGTCTTTTTATCAAGCTCATTATTATTAAACATCTATAGCATTGTTCTCATATTTTCGACAGGATTTGTTTGAACTTTATGATGCTAATCAGCAGCGTTTCTGCTTGGACCTCCTGCATTTATATTTTTATCATACAAATTCAAATCTTTATTCTCTAGTTCTATCATTGGAAGATTACTGCTTCTCCTCCTCTGAGTAACCATCTCGCTAGCTACTTTCTTCCTAAAAGTAGCTGGGGTTTGAATTTCGCCAAGTGCTTTTCGCATTTCAGCTCTTTCATCATTAACTTTAAGCTCTTCTTACTAGTTATTTTATTCAGGATAGTCTAAATTAGGAAGGGGTTTCATTGATACAGTCGTAATGTCAATTGGTTGAGGTAAGATAGTCTGAGACTTTAGTCTCGTATAGTTTTTACTATTTTTACTCGCCTTACTCAATATTGATTTGTTAGTTCTATTACTCAACTAACTCTATGCTTCATCTATATGGAGAAGAGTTTGATGATTACTAAAGCTTAATGGTACTTTTATACCTATACTAGGCTTAGATGTGGTAGTTAGCTTTTTTTCATATCCTAATTCATTATGATCTTCTGATTAAAGTTCATTATCGTTATTGAGGACAGGCAATCTTGCATCAATATTTGTAATTACTGAACCTTGCTTCTCTATTATAGAATTAGTCCCTATAGTAGCATTTATATTTTCATTAAACCGTACTCCTTTCGATACGGTTGAGATATTGTGACTGCTATTAACACTATTGCTATTTTATTGAGTTAAACTCTTTAGCTTTTTTTTTGCATCTAAAAATGAGGGACTTGGGATGTTGCTATTTTTCTAGGAATCAATGGTTTATTTTTAAATGTATTAGTTTTAACGGCTATTTATAGCTAGAGGTGGTTTTTATGAGAGATTCAAAGACTCACCAACTTGGCAGTCAACATTTTAAAATTTCGAATATTGCTATTTTGGCTATGGTTAGAAAGCTTACTCTGTCATCATTGAGGTTTAGATGTTTATATTTCTGACCTATTTAGAAATAGTGTTTGACAGCTCACTCTCCTCTGTGTATTTGTTATAAACCGGAGTACTCTACATCTATGAATCCTTGAAAGTAGCCTAGTTAGCCATAATCAATGGTTAAGACTGCATTTTAGAGAGCAGGGATTCATTAGGATTTTTCATTTCAGTCATTGGCCTTGGAAGCTAAACTTATTGCTAGATACTATTTTTGCTCATTCTTAAAGAACTTCGAATGGACCTTTTATTTTTTATTTTTTGAACAATTTATGTTAAAGTAAAGGTCTGCTGTTTTACTGATTAATCAACTTACATACTGCTCGATTCAAGAGAATTTCTTGATGACTTTATTTATCCAAAGTGAGAAGTCCTCATCTTACTTAGTTCACTAAGCCTTGGCTTGGCCACTATCTTAAACTTTTAAACAGGATTAAATTCTGTTCCTATCACATCACCTTCTGGCAAATTACTCTAATACGAATAGGGCATCTTAAAATTCTTTTTTTCAGATTCAGGCTTTTGAATCTAACTTCTAAGAGCTATTTCTACACCTGATATTTGACTATTATTATGGAATAGAAAATTGTTGCCTTGACTTATTAATCCACTAGTATTACTCTGGGTTCGCTTATGATAATCTGGAGATATTTTAGAAACAAATGTATTTTTTTAGTTTGTCATTAACACATCCGATGGGATGCGAAAATGAGTATCTCTTTTATTAAACTCATCAGGTGAGTTAGTATCATCCATTCCAATGTTAATATTACTCTTTTCTGTTTAGCCTCTCTAAATGCCTCTTTGCTCAAATTTAGAATTGTTGTTGTCTTGCCTGTAAATTTCTTAACCATATGGATCTTAGTCCTCTTCTTCTTCCTCCTCTTCTTCTCTATCAAACTCTTCCCCCTAATCATCTGACTTGTTGACAATATGATGAATTCTTTATGATCGTATATTTAAGTTTTCCTCTTCTTCATTTTCATCGTCTCTTTGTGTTTATATCTTAGAATCTAGATTTTCTTCATAGTAATCTTCCTTAATTTCATCTTAACCATATAATTGATAGTTCATAAATGGTTGTTAGTAATTTTAATGCTAGTAGTTTTACTAGGGTGAGTAATACATCTATGGCTTATTATCTCTTTATTGAAAACTACTGTGTTTGGATCTTTATTAACCACTGGAATGAAATCGAGAAGGTACAATGTCATTTTATTATTGACTCATTACAGATTATATTGTGCTCATGATGTGAGATCCTGATCTTTAACTATTCTGATTAGGGTCATAATAAGTATTCTAAAGAAATTGATAAACTTAGAAGCATGAAGGACAAACCTCCATATCTTAGTCATTGATAAGGCTCTTTCTAAGCAAAGTTTCTTGCTAATTCAACGTTTAGAACATCTACTCTGATTAATTATATGCTCTATAGTTATCCTTCATAATTTCTCTTTCAAGGACAATAGTCTTTTTCGAGACTTTGAGATGGTCATGATTTATGAGTTTAGCTATAATGGGAGCAAGATGTCTTGGAACCATCTGCTAATCCTAAATAAAGCAGTAATCTCCATTACATTAAAAAGCCTTTTTATCTGAAAATGGTAAATCATTGGTAGTCATATTTTTCTTATGATACCTTGGCAAAGCATCTAATTGCTCAATGTTAGTAGGTATTGCTGGAGGTGGATCAATTATCTATTCCTCGATAATATATGACTTAATTTGCATGAAGTAAACTTTCTTGTCCTGGTAATCCTCGACAAAATCAGCTGTGATCTTGATAAGCTCAAGACCTTCAGGATTCAAAACTAAGTTATTTATTATTCTTACTAATTCTTATAATTACTGTTATACCTATGCAATAGTAGATTAGGCTTCAACATCTCGAGATCTGATCTTTGTTTAAACATAGCTGTTCTACCTTTTATCGATGACAAGGAACTGATTTTGATAGGATCTTGCAGATTTATCTATTTTGTTTTAAAGCATCAAGTGCTGAAGATTCTTCTTAGATTGAAAATCAATTTTGGCCTATTTTAAACTCATCATCTTATTATTGGGGTTTCTTGGTGAAAATATTTCATTTTACAATAAAAACTGTTGCATTTCTTCAAAGGACAGCTTTGTGATTTCACTATATATCTCTGATAAGTCATCAAAAGTTAGAAGCTTTGTCTACAAGGTATTTATATCTCTTTATTCGTTAGAGGAAGACTATTATTGAGTGTTTGGTGATTAATTTGTAGCCTGAATATTTCTGATTAGAGAGCGTTATCCACATAGAGGGTAAAAGGACTCTTATCTATAATACTTTGTACCCTTGTTCTTTTTCCACAGGCCTCGATACAAAATTGGATATTCATCTCGAGATGGAACATATCTCTATACTACAAATTAATCGAGTCCTTATGGATTCAATTTAATCTGTTTAAATCCATTGTTGAAATTTTAAAGGGCAGAGACAACAAAAAAATCTAAATGTATCTAAGTCCTCAAATCTTTTCGGGGTTTAAGCTTTTTTATTGAGACTGGAACAAAGGATCCCTTTTTAGATTTCTCAACATTCTTTTGCAACCAGTCGCAGACTCTCTCATCCATCTATTTTGACGATAGTTTCAAACAAGAAAGCGTTTTTATATATTGCCTATTAGTGGAGGTATCTTGAAGTTACTAATTTTCGATATTTGAAAGTAGCTTCGTATCCTAATACCTTCCACCAATAATAGTTTCTGGTATTCTTATGTTTACCGGCTAATTTTAGCAAATCTAAGCCAGAAATAATATGCTTTCAAGCGATCCTATTGGAACGAGATCCTGATATTATTATTGTTGTTATTGCTATAATTATATCGATCTCTTACTGGCATTTTACAGTTACTCTCTTATTAATTAATTTTGAGATATTCTAAACGGCTAGGCTTGTGAATTCTGGATCTCAGAATGCTCGTTATTTATATTAGAGGCTTGTGATGAACTCTAATCATCTTGCACTTTTTAACTTTATTACCTCTCATAGTTTATGGGATTTACTGCTTGCTTATTTTTTTTGTTTAAATCTTTAGAAGTAATTTAAGGGTAATTCTGATTTTGAGGAATCTGCTATTAGATTCTTTGCTCATTATTTTGGAATACCAACTGCTGCTCTCTAATATTTTATAGATTATCATTCTTGATATTGGTAGTGCTACTAGAATCATGCATTTAATATTTGAGAGAGTTTTTAGCTCATAGGTAAGACTGCTGCTCTTTATCTGAGACATAGGGGATGTTTGAACTGAATTAATTCGAAAGTCCTCCTCCCATACCATCTCCATGAACCTAATTTCTGTTATTTACCGGTATTTATCCTCTAGAAATGAAATTATTTTGATTTTATAAGTTATTATTGAAGCTTCTCATGTACTCGCCACTGTTATTAAAAGAGTTTTCAGCACCCTCATTTTATTATTTTTTTACTCTCTCATTTGAGTATTAATGGTTCTTTGTAGGTCTTTTATGCTATCGTGACTCAGGGCGGTCATTTTAGTCTTATTAGTGAAAGTTTGATGCGGATGAATTCCGAGTTTTAGACCCTGAGTTTTTTTTAGGACTTTTCAATTTCAACTTGGATTACTTTAAAGAAACATTGTTCATTTTTCTCATAAATAATAAACTATTTTTTTAATTCGGAATTAATAAAATTAGAGACGGTCTAATTCTAGACGGGGTTTTGGGGTTTTGGGGTTTTGGGG